CACCAGCGCGCTCACGCCAAAGAGCCAAAGTGGCCTGTCAGCACAGAGAGGGGAACGGTACGATCAATTGAAATTGCGCCCCAGTTTAAACGAGTAGAGAAGGCGAGGGGAGAGGATACAACCACGTACGTGACGGAGGGTTCTGGTTGCTGACACCAGAGCTTCCATCTGACGTCTCCGGCAAATGCATGCATGGGCTGCACGCACATAATTGTCTTGGTGTCTCAACGAACAGTTCACTCGCCAGAAGGCCTGTCTCTGCTCCTCTCTTAGCTACCGCGCCCCTCCACCCCCCCAGTCATACCCTGTGACTGATCCTGGCTGTGGGAGGGATCAGTCCTCGGGAGCGAGCTGGGAGGGTGGCAGACGGCGTTGGGTTGGCGTCGTCGTACCGCCGCACCGTTGGCGTCTTTGGCGCTGTAATGTCACTGCCGTCAGGGGCTTCAACCAGGCTGCTGGAACTACCACCACGATATTACGGCCCATGATGCGGCATGGCAGGTAGGCCACATGCTGTTGTCGGTAGGGCTGGCCTGGCCTGGCCGTGGGAGAGCATGTTGCCCAGCGCCGCGCAGCAGGGGGCTCTGAGCATCTCGGAGCCGAACAAACGGATCTCTATGGAGATGGAGAAGTTATTCTTTGGTTTGTGGATGGTCTAAAGCTCGGGTGCAGCCCTTGCGTCGGACAGGCCTTGGGCCAATTGGCAGCAGTTGATTGCTTTATTATCTCGTGTGACGGTTGCAAGTTACATCACACTGCCATCAGTGATGGACAACTCAAATGCCTAGCACCTGCGTAGAAAAAACTTACAGCACTTCCGGCGGCCGACCGGAAACACGGCTCTGCTCTGCCAAGGTGCTCCCACACAGCACAAGCGACAAGAAACAGTCAATCTGACGCCTCGCTGGGTGGCTGGGACAGAACCGAGTTGAAACAACACCCACCGCTAAGGGCTCTCGCTCGCTAGAGAGCAACAACTCGGTGTGTCGTGCCTCTCTGCTTTGGGGCGCGGGCGATCATCTTCCTCGTTTGGTCCGTTGCCGCGTATGCAGCCCCAAATTAACTGAAATGAGCTCCTCAAATCCGCCGCTCTGCCAGCCCAAGCCCACCCACACCAAGCTTAGTCAATTGAAATCGTACCATGGCGGGCTCCTTTCTATTGCCATTATTTGACGGAAAAAGATGGCCTATATTAGTAGTCATAGCTTGCTCTGTTATACCCACCTGTACAGAGGACAGTCGGAGCAGTCACCAGCCCATCCGTTTATCTCCATGTTCCAGCGTCCGTTACGGTGCAGTAGCCATCCATCTGTGGCGCACACGCAGTCTTTAACATGGCATGGTATCTCCCAAGATACCCGCACCTTGCAATGGTTCATGCCGGTGCTGGGATGTTGTTCAACCTGTGCCTAAAAGGTTCGATGCTGGAGGAGATGTAGATGTAGGGATTGGTATAGCCGGGTATTCCCGCAAACCCAATCCAACCCACGGGATAGAGCCTCCAGGGCCATGACATACCGATGGCCTTTTCCGTGTTCCCAGTACAATGTGTTGTATACTTGCTCATTGCCCCCGGTGTGACAACGAGACGGTCAATCGGCTAGAGCCGTGTCTCACTCAACCCAACGGGCAAGGGATGTTGGCCGTGCTGGAATATTCCGTATACCATTGCAATACGAATGAATGAGGTACCAAGCAGTCCCGTGAGGCTGGCAATATACCCTGTCTCAGACATCTTCTGATAAGTTGCCATTGGGCATTGGGCGCTCTGCGTTTGTCAGGCACATGTGGTCAGCAATAGATCATCAGTGTACTGTGATCACCGTAATACCACAGTCGTGCCTTTACGATGCAGATCCTTTGAATACCTATAGACTGAGATAATTAGCTGGGTGAATGATGGTTTTGCCCATTCGAAGTTCTGTTCAACAGATGGATTTCCCCGCGCATGCAGAGATGCCCAGTGCAACTTGGTCAGACACAGTTACATCGGTATGCATGCACTTACATGTTCACTTGTCGATGCAACCCTTGCCGGTGGCTGGCTCGCTGTTGGTGTTTTGGGCAATCGATTCCAGCATGGGTGGTACCGTCTACAGATCACGGTTATTCCAGATAGAGTGCTTTCGAAAGGTACTTCAGTCCATGCAGCAGGCATTTAGGGACTGCTACGCCAGACCGTCAGTATGGCGTAACTCGCCAAATGCAGATGAAGAGAGTCCCTCTTCGAGTGATCAGCGTTGTGGCGGCGGGTTGTAGCACGACAAGCAACGCCGACGGTCTTGTCATGAAACAGGAACCCTCAGCAGCTCTTGTCGCCTCTTGTCGCGCTTACTATGCTGATCAACCGGGGTCAGGAGCAATCGGCGCCAGCTCCTTCGACAGCTCTGCTGCGCGTGCTTTGAGAGGCGTTCGGACCCAGCAGCAGGCCACACCGCAGGCGGTGACGTCTCACATCGTGATCTACCTTGGAGCCAGGAGCAGGCTCTCGTCATCGTCATCGGTCGCGTTGACATTAAGGCTTCGGTGCCTGGGCTGTGGCGCATTAGACTTCCCTGGCCTGCCGTTGGAAAGTCTATCCTGTTTCAACGTTATTTGTTCATGGGTGTTTATTCTTTGGAGCATCTGGAGGCGGTTGCCGTTTCCTCCCTGCTGCGCTAACGGTCGGGCCCATTAGCGCCATGTTTCCGCTGGAACGGTGCGGTCTAGCTGGGGGTTAGCAGGTACAGGTACTGTAATTCTGGATGTCGCTGCTGTCTCCTCGGGGCCGACCCGAGTTTCTGTCACCATGCTCTTCAGAGGCAAAAGGAAAAACCAGGGGGCTGGGAGGCAGCACATGGGGGGTAGGGGAGGGGGCGTTTGGTTCGAGGATGCCTACCGTTGGGACAGGCACCTCAGTCCCGTCAGTAACTGTGCAAGGACAGGCCGTACCGTACCTACATTGGTTCCACTCCCAGTACAAAATTTCCCCAGATTACGAGAGTAATAAACGTGGTCGAGCTGGGATTACCCGGCGATGTGTGCGTTGGGCCGGCTGCTTTCTAGAATGGTTCATTGCGGCGTTCTTGATTGAGGCTACGCAGAATCCGTTGGGCTTCTATCATCTGCGGTATATGTTGCACATTTAGTCGGTGGCTTGCGATCTCAAGCTTCTTGCACCTGGACGCAAACCAGCATTTTGTGAATGGTGTTGGCTATCCACTGTCGTCCTCGTTTACCGACCGTGTGGATATTCATTGCCGTTTCCTCCGGCGGTAATTACGTCGTGATAAATGATGTAGCCGTATGTAGCTTGTGAGATTGGCTCGAAAATATAAAGGGATGCTCTCAGAGCCAACTACTTACCCACTGCCTAGCTGTTTATTTTAGGCACAACAAGAGACAGCATCCTACCGAGGCTCCATTTGATCTTTCCAACCTCAGCTGACGGTCATAATTACGCGAGGACATTATTCTCCCCGACCGCTCCCTACGACAGATACTGCGCAGCATCAGTCAAGCCGTCGTTTGGTTTGTGCACCCATAGGGTAGGTAAGTACCTTGCAAGGCCGCCAATCATCAAGGCCGCCGCATCCAAGGCGCACAGGAGAGAAATCTGTTCCTGGATTCAGGCCAGGGTTTAATTTCCACCATCTTATGTGCCTGCATGTGCTAAATTGGGTCCCGGCTGGTACGCAGGGCCAGACGGAGCAACCCACTCTCAGACAGTCATCGCAGATATTGACAATCTGCACAGTCTGTCCGAGGGCTTGGCCATTTTTATTTAATACTACTGTCAATCAACGACTGACCCAACCCTCCTAGAACATCCCTCCCCTCGATGCAGCTACTCTCCCCAGACTACGCACCGCCCATACACAAGTCTGCAGGAACCGCAATCCCCAGAGACACCAAAGCAGCCGGTGAACCAGGAAGCAGCCGTTTGTACACTGCGACTCCCTTCAGCAACCCCACTCGCAGCACCAGTCCAGTGTTCCGCTGAGCCCCAAGGAACCAGCAGCAAGACAAGGTGATACCCTTCACCCACAAGCCGTTCGTTCGTTCGAAGAGGGTGGTACGCACACACGCACCCGCTGGCACGCAGTCAGTAGTTACTTTTTCGCGACCTCGGCACACGTGGCCAAGCGCGACGAACCTGGCCTGTCCCTGCATTTCACCACTGGCCTTCGTTCTGGGTACTTCTTACAAACACGTCTCGTACGTGCCGCACCGTACCGCAGCCACAGCCGCTCTTTCCACAGGATTGGAGACATCTACCAACTCTCGTTGAGCAGTTGAGTTGGCCCACAACACTATAGGTTCGTGCAAGTTGCGTTTTCATAACATCATTACCCCCGTCAAGTCTTCTTCAACTCCGTATTTCACTCCATGGATAATATACGCTGGCGAGGGTTTGAAATCAAAACCAGGGTCCTGCATTTCTTATGTTCGACAGGAAGAATGCATCAAGTCACACATCATGTTGATTGTCCAAAACCACGCATCTCATGCTGGCCGGAACTCATGGCATTGCATTGATAGCAACAGTCTATCAACAGAAAGACTTGCAACGTGTTGTTCTGGCTCAACAGACTTGTTGACCAACATACGTCCTATACCTCTTGATGTTGAATTCAAGCTAGCTGGTGTCGCGGTAGCACTAATTCGAGTCCGTGTTTAGACACCAAAAAGGGAAGTCCGAGCCTCGAGGGCCATTCTGTCGTGACGCCAACACACAGCCCGAAGCGTTTAGAAGGGAACTCATTATAGGAGGATTTCTTGATTGGTATGTTTGTTTTCTCACCGTCTATTGCAAGGTGTCTCCCGCGAAACTCCTTCCTATGCGCATGATTTGACGAAATTCGAGAGAATATTGGCAATCATGCTCAAGCGGAGAAAAGGGGCTATCCCCATGTCAAAGACGCGCTCAAAATAATGATCCATTTGCTGACCGTTTGCATGAAAATTGATTAGTTGGGCGATTTCGAGCTCCTCATCCCATGCCCGTTGACTCCAACGACATGTCGGCGCACGGACAGGCTCACGGCCATTTCATCAAGGCCGACCCTGGCATGGCCCATTCGGTATGTAATGTTTTCACGTCTTCTTTCCCCAGAGGGTCAAGCCCATGTTTTCCCAAGACACGGCAGTGGCATTTGGTGGCTTAGTGGCCAACTGGTGCCTGGACACGCTCAGAAATCTACACATGAGCATGGCTGCCCAGCACATGTTTCTTTCCCAGACAATATGATTAGGGTCATATTGCGGAGTTGACAAAACTCTCCGTTTCCTTCTGCGAGTATTGGTGGTATTTGGTCCTCAGTCTATAAATGGACGACATGTCAAATCAGCCTTGTCGCAAACCTGTCCCTGTCAGTATTCCTTGGACTCTAGCAGGGTACTCCTGTTTCACCAAAAGCTTGGGCGCCCGCATACGCCGCGAACCTTGTGGGTCTCTCCAACTTGGGACTCGTTCCAACAATCCCAGATGGGATGGAATGATGGATGAGATGAGCACAGAGGATTGCCGTGTACTATTCTCCGCCAGCCTACTGCATCAATTCATCAAAGAAGCCCAGTTTAGGCGATTGACGTCGACTAAATCAACTAAAGCTTCTTTGATTCCTTGTCCCAGAGACGGCGGAGGATTTTGCGGCAGGCGGGACATCCCTGTGTGTCGTCCATCTACATGGCGAATGGGGCTACCAGACACAGCTTTTTCACGGTGTCAGCACAAATGCAAGGCTGGGACACTCTGCCATTTGACAAGGTGACGGATATCGTCAATCCGACGTCAGAGGGGGGTCGAGCCATCCGCATTGCGCACATGTCTTGTGAGATCTTTGTGGCGCGCTTGGTTTTTACCGAGCTGTTAGCTAGCAGAAGCGATGCAGCCACCGGCACCACCCCCCAAAAAAGCAAAGAGGAATACATATCAAGGACCAAGCCAGAAAAGCGCACACGCTAGCAGCTAGCCACGGTGGCGTTGACACGGCGCGGCCCCTAGTGGAGGTCCGTTGCCTGCGTCCGTTTTTGACAGAGAGAAAACGGTGCAGAACAGACGCAAGTCCAGCGCACGCACTGGCCTGGCCCAAGCGGGAGCCGATGTCTGTACCGTGTGGCGCTTCCTGCCACTCCCAAGCCTCCTGGGGACAGGCGCGTGCTGTCAAGGCAGAGGTGGGAGCCAGAGCCGTTCCTCGCGTGGACCTTGCCAAGATGCTCGTTTTCCAATGCAGGAGAAATGAAGCTGTCGGAGGTACCCGGCGAAGAATACCACTCTGCAGTTCCGAGCAGCGAAGGCCATTGCCTACTTGGGCACTTGTCAGAGAAGCCCAGGCGGCTGGTCGTCAACGTCCTCGAGAGATACAAGGGGCATGGCTACCCACACCGCTTGTGTCCAAAATAAGAGGCGAGGACCAGTCTAAGCCTGGCTAAGTTTTGGTCCGTTATTAGCCCCGGCCGTCGGGTTCCCTATTGGGCAGCTGGTCCTGGATGGACCCTCATGATGGATTCCGCCATTGGCCATTTAATCAAATGCGACCACCCTTGCTCGTTTCCTCTATGCGCTGGCGCTCCCATCAACTTCAGCACGCAGAGAACAGGAGGTACATATGTACAAGCGTATGTATGTACGTACCTACACCGACAGCACACCCCTCCCCTCGTTTGGCCGGACACCCCTTTACCTGCTAGCCGTGGACGATTGATTCTTGGCTCTGGGTCATGGCTGGCCACCTCGCTCACGTTTCTTCAGGCGTGGGAGGGGCCTACCGACAGTGGGAGGTCACTTTGTCTTTGCTTTTCCCGCGCTGGTTCGTTGCCAGATGCCCACTCTCTGATTGTTGTCTCTTGCACAGCCATCTCCGAAATTTCTGTCATCTCGGAAGAGGCAAGAAGCCACAGCCATGTCCTTCACATCTTGAATCATTTTCCGTCAACTTAACCTTTTTCACTTCTTCCCTCCCCATCCACCCCCCCTGAACGGCTGCTGGGGGATTGAAGAGACCAAGAGTCGGTGCTGGAGCCACTGCACCAGTTCAACCACACCTCCCTGTCGTCGTTTCTGCCAACGCCCCCCCCCTCCCCTGGTCATATTCGAGGTATACATTACCCCGTTGCTTTACCCACTTCTCATCCTACGTACCTGGTCCCAATCCCCATAATCTTGGTTCAAATACTCTGCTCCCCTGCTCTCCTTCACCTTGCCCCCCCCGTCTTGTCACTCTGTTGGCGTACCTTGACTGCGATCGCCGGTTTTTTTTTCTTTGGCTCGAAGTTGCCCTTGCTTTTTGGCTTTTGGCGGTCTTCAAACATTGAAGATAAAGCTCGTTGTACTGTCCACCAACCAAGCTAAAGCATCGCGACATTCCTCGCACGTCCTTCGTTTTCTTCCCAGCCCTCCGTCAGCACATTGCCACGAGAATCGACCGACCAAGAGGTCCTCTGATTTCGGGTTAATCGGGTCCAGGACTTTGGCCGACCCCTCCCCCCCCCAACCCGTCGCGGTAGTACGTGAGTTTTTTCGCTGGCGCTTTATCAGCAGCGGTCCTTCTAGGCCTAGTTCGCCTCACCCGTACCATCCCAGTCATCACCAGGGGATGACTGCTCCACCACAGCTCGCTTGACCCTGACAGTGTCAAGGGGAATATAACACCACCGCGTCCTGCATCTTTGTGTTTTCCTTGTTGTCCGTTGAAGCTGTATCGTGTCGACGTGTAACTAATGGGAGTTTTCTCTATGCAGCATCCTGCCCATCACCAGCAACAAGGTCCTCAACCTGCTCAGCTGCAGCACTCCAGGCCCTCGAGCGTTGTTCACCAGCAGCATCACCAGCAGCAGGCTCAACCGCCGCCTCAGCAGCATCAGAGCGCGTACTCATCAAGCCACACGCTTGCGCATCAATATCCACCAAACGGGCAAAACTCAGGCGGGCAAGACAACCTGCCTTCGTACTATAACCACCCAAACTCTTACAACACAGCTAGTGCAAACGGCGGATATCCGTCGGCAGGTGCGCAACTTTGCCAATCGCTCACGCGTCTCGTTGCGCGTGAGCATCCTCAAAAGATCCAGAGCTGACCAAGCTACACAGACACAAACGAGATGATGGCCGCAGCACAGATGCCGAGGCCTCCATACCCTCCAATGTCATATCACACTCCGCAATCAAACTCGCCTGCCTCGGTCGCGTCTCCCTCCCAGCATGACCAGCACAGGAGCATCTACGGCCAACCGCCGTCGCAGCACATGCCTCAATCAATGTACTACCAGCCACAGCCTCAGTATCAGTCGATGCCCCCGCAGCCGACGGCCTCGCCATACGCGCAGCATGCGCAACACCCTCAGCAGCCCATGACCTCCCAGCCCAACATGATGATGTCTCATCCCGCGCCTCACAACCCCATGAGCCACCAGCAGCACGCGCAGCAGGGCATGACCAACAGCCCTCGCGCCAAGATCGAGTCTCAAGTTCCACTCCAACTCCACAAGCCCCAGACCTCACCAATGCCTCCCATGCACCACGCTCAGAATGGAGGGCAGCTTCAGAGCCCAGGCAATCCTGCCGCTGGCGTGAACCCCAACGCTGCGCCTGGTCCGATTCCCGCGACAACACCCCCCGTTGTTCGGCAAGACGGAAATGGAGTGCAATGGATCGCATTCGAGTATTCGCGTGATAGGGTCAAGATGGAGTACACGATCCGGTGCGACGTGGAATCGGTGAATACAGAGGAGCTCTCACAGGAGTTCAAACAGGAAAACTGTGTGTACCCACGTGCATGCTGCCCCAAGGACCAGTACCGTGGAAACCGCTTGGGATACGAGACGGACTGCAACCGTGTCGGATGGGCGCTTGCGCACCTCAATGTTCCCCTCCGGGGAAAGCGAGGTCTTATTCAGAGGGCTGTTGACAGCTGGCGAAACAGCAACTCAGACCCGCGACTCCGAAGTCGCAGAGTCCGTCGCATGGCCAAGATGAACACGCGAAAGCATGTCCAGGGTACGCCACATACCTCACCGATGCCAGCCCCTGGCGCGCAGCCAGGGATGCCCTCAGGTCCCGCATCCATGGGCCCCGGAGGTCCGACCATGGGCAAGCCTGGGCTAGGCAGCATGGGTCAACCACTACACCACCATCATCCTGGAAGCCACCCCGATGGATCACAAGGCGGGGAAGAAGTCGGTATGTTCCATCACCAGATGTGATTTAATCCCCTAGCGAAAAGCCGCACATATTGTTGCTGTCGTCGGGGCTATATACCCTTACCCTCAACCTCTCCTACCCTGACGGCCATATACCACCTCCCTTGACCACACCCGCATAACATGGCATCACACTTCACCACTTTGTCTGGCATGTCTTGTCTACCGTAATTGATACCACATCTTTTTTGCTGCCCTGATTATCTGAGGAACGCAACCAATCATCTCGCATCGGTATATCCTGCTTTTCTACATTTTTCTCGTCTGTTGGTCTGCTTGTTTTTCTTTGTCGTTATTAATTCACACAATGGGATATGGGGGGGCTTGTTCAAAGTTTGATCTTCTTCTGTCTTTTTTAAAGTAGCGTTAGGGCGACCTTGCTTTCAGGTGCCGACGTCTTTATACGACGACAGCAAGGCTTGAGCTTCTAGAAGCGTCAGCTAATTTGTTGGTTGATTGGCGCGACCCTGTACATTTACGGATATTGAACATATTGGTCCGGTATTGCGCTTCTCATGGCTTCTGCTAGTTTATTCCTCAACTGTGTTGAGGCGCTTACCCTCGCTACTTAGGGTTCCAGGGGTAGGGGAGCATTGCAGCGGAGGATTATTGACATCCATCCCTGCAGGAAAGCACCTTGTCTTATGACTGGACCCCTACCAAGTCTGTATAATAGAAAAAGATGATCCCCAGCGTTGTTTGGAGACAGACATTCCTGATATTCAACTGCCCTTCACTTCACTTCACTGCACTGCACTGTTGTTTTGATCTACCGAGTACTACAAATCAAAGAATACAGAGCGCTGACTCCAAGCCCTCTATAGACAACGGACACTATGAAAGCCACCATCACCCCGGTGCCGCTCCCACACATGGCGATGATGTGAGACAGGCGCAGGTCTTCACTGGCTACGCTAACCAAGGCTATCCTACTAACGGCCATGGAGGCTCCATGTCTCACATGGCTCCTCATTCCAGCAGCATCATTCCTGCCAAGCGTCACAGCAGGTCCGGAGCTGAGGACCATGATGACCTTTTCCCTGACATCCCCGAGGCCAAGAAGAGGAAGTTCATCCTGGTCGAGGATAACGTCCGTGGATCAAGGCTTCGTGTGAGAGTCACTCTCGAGGGTGTCGACACCAATGAGATCCCCGACAGCTTCCGCAAGGGTGCCAGCGTGTTTCCTCGAAGCTACTTCCCCCGTGAGATGCAAAGCCCTCCCCCAAGCGCCACAGGCTCCCACTTCTTCCCTAACGATATGGAGGATGACAACACACAAGAGACCGAGGGCAGGGAGGCAAGCCGTCGTGGAATGAAGATGGTAAAGGTCCCCGTCGGCGAAGGTCGGGAGGAAGAAGTGTCTGTCCCAAGGACGCGTAGGTCTGCCCGTGGCACAGAGGTCAAGCTTAACGACCTGGGCTTCCGCATGGCGTGGCTGCAGAGCCGAGTGTTTTCCGGCAGGACCGTCTTCCTCCAGCGAGCACGTGAGTCAGCCTCATTTCATTTCAGGTGACTGGAAAAAGAAAACATGGAACTAATGATGTATCATAGTGGATTGCTACCGTAATAAGACCCGTACCGCCATCGAGGGCGCTCAGGGCGACTCAAAGTCCATTGCGCCACATTATGAGACCCGACGTGGCAAGGCCCGCTGGAACGACCGCATGAAGCGCGGAGAGAAGAAGGATGAATGAAAGACATCGGATACGAGTTGACGGCCGCCTGCCTCCTTTGCTCAGTGCCACGCATTCTCCCGAACATTTCTACAAGTCTCTTGCTGTTTGAGATACCATTTTGCGACATCCGGCACATTGATTTCTTCCCCCATCTCGTCTCGGGGTCGACAGTTGCGGGTTCATTCATTTTCTGTTTCTGGTGGAAATTATCTGTCGGCACGAGAAACATGATACCTCTTTGCATTATGAACTATTTTTATGTTTTCATTGCGCATTGCTCTTTTTCTCAGTTTTGAGTTTACTTTTCTCGTTCCGTTTTTTTTTATCATCATTTGGGGTTTTGCTCATCCTGTTTCATTTCCCATTGTTGCATTTCTCATACATTTTGCGAGAGAAGCGCCGATTTGAGGGGCCTCCAAGACTGTTCTAGCAATTGATTGAAAGCACTGGAAATACGTATCGATTTCGCTGTACAGAACTAAGAAAAAAGGAACAATTGGAGAGAGGGATACGGATATGAGAGGCCGGTAGAGAGGAGAGGGCGTTGTTCAATATTGGGGTGGGAGGGGAGGCAGAAGTCTTTTGAAATGAATGTTTCTTACGCTGTTTTTTCATTATTCCCAGCTGCGTTGCGTTAGAGTGGATGAGGCTTGGATCATGATACTGTGCCAGGCCTGTCTGAAGAGAAGAGTATATGAGAGAGATTGGTTTGCAACCTTGGCATTAGAGGATTGAAGGGGGAGGGCATGCAAAAGATTACAATGTCTTTTCTGCAGTACATAATGTTGGGAGATTTGGAGGTTATCTGTTTTATGCCGGGGTTTGCTATAATAAATGAACTGGTTTTACGTTTACTCGTTGTTCCGCTCCATGATGGATGTCGCAGTGAAGATGAGGAGGCAGAGGTGTCGTGCCATCTTGTGTAACATGCCTGGCCTTGCAGAGGAGCCAAGAATTAAGCTTTGGACTCCCAGACAAACGTCCATGTGGAATGTGAACAGGGTGTATGAACTGCCAGGCGGGAGCATGTCCAGGTCCAGGTCCAGGTCTAGGTCTGGGTCTGGGTCATGGTTCGATGGGCTTCAGCTGCCAACCTACCCACCCTACCTGACAATGGGCTCGAGCTTCCTCCACTCTTCTCCCGCAGTTCTTGGGATGCTGAAGGGGGGGAGGGGCTGCTGGCTGAGCAGGTGGTGGCTTTAACCTCTGGCATGGGCTCAGCGTTAGGCACCCAAGCACCGCCTAAAGAAGCTACTGTAGTCCGTTGGACGGTAAGCTACCCAACCTAACCGGGGGGGCTGATTGTCAAGCGTGATCTGCATGCCCATGCGTCCACGCCAGCTTTTTGGGTAGATGACCCGGAATCCTTGTCTATCCAATCTACATTACATCTCTCTATTTGCGATTCAACGGGACGTTCTGGGTTTCCCGACGCTTGCGGTTCTATCCCGAGCTTCGTCGAGCTGGCTGCGGTCCAGCTATATTGCCCAAGTTATCACTGGGTCCAGACCCCTCATCGCAGAAGCTGTCGCCCAACTTGTCCTCCCAACGCAACGTCATCAACCTTGACTGCACGACAACGTCGAAGAAGCACGAACCCACGGCATTGCGACCCGAGAGCCCTACCTCAGCCCACGAGGTAGAATGGTGAGCCAACCGCAGAACCCAAATAGCAGCCACCCGCGGCCGCTGTTCGGGGCCGAGCTCGAGGCAAGACCCCCTGATGGCAACCCCGTCTTTGAAATGAGTGGGGAGTCGGCACCTTCAAAGGACGACAACAGCACGAACAATATATACCCGGAGAGGAAGGAGACGGGTCCAAACTCCCAGGCTCATCCGTGGCCGTTCTACCTTGATGAGCAAGGCCAGAGGCGACCGATCATGGAGGAAGCCGTTAGACCACAGGCCTCGGCCAACGGCGACAACGATGCTGTGCCTGCTGCATTGGCGATCAAGTTCGCGGGGCGTCGTGCGGGCTCTGATGCTTCTGCAGAGGTCCGGCCTCTTGTGATGAGGCCCGCCAGTCCAGCTGAGACAGACTCCTTCATCCCGGCGCCGCTCAACATCTCTCGGCCTTCGCAGTCATCACCGCCTCCACTCTCACCCAAGAAGTACAAGCCCTACCAGCCGCCAACTTCCCTGGAAGAGCCAAAGTCGCCATCGCTCGCTGGTCACCCTAAGCATGAGCCAGGCCAAGCCTATAGGCCGTACCGTCGGCCGTCATATGATGACAGGCCGTCTGCGAGCGCTGCTCCCGTTCCGACCGCGGCGCCTGTATCAGGCTATGGAGCAGTTGGCAGCGCTCCAACTTCGCCAGCGCCCTCGGCTCAACCATTCAGATACCCATCTCCTGCGGGCAAAGAACAACAATCTCTGGCAGCCGTTCCACCTACGGCATCTCCTAAGATACCTGCGGCAGGCTCGCCCGCTCTAGGGAATAGAACCCCATCTCCTTCTCTCAGACCTTATCAACCCCCATATGTTGAATATGAGGTAGGCAACCAGGCCAGCCAGCCACCTCCACCGCCCGTTCCGCTCAAGACTCGCCCTCCCGCGGTTGATTCTAGCGCTCATCAGGAGTCCGGAGCACATGCTGGACAGCCAGGAAGTCCGCCTATTCCTCCTAAAAGCTCGTCTCCTCCACAGCCTGCCGAGATAGTTCTATGGCCACACCCACCGGCTTCTGGCCCAGATAAGAAAACGGCTCAACCTCCATCAGCAAGTCTACCCGTCAGTGGAAGTAGTCCGGGGCCTTCGAAGCCCACGAGCCCGGCTCCGGAGCATGTTGCATCTTTTATTCCAGATCCAACTCCTATCCCAGTTGAGACTAAACCTCCTCCTGTTGCTGCTCCGACCTCTCAACCCAGCCCCCAACCTAGCCCCCAACCTGCCCAGCAGTCAAGTGCTTTCATTCCTCAAGCAACATATGCTTCCAGCAGTGCTCAGAATGCAGAGGCATCGGCAAGGCCATCGAAGTTCCCTCAGTTTCCGGAAGTCGACCAGTCCATTCCTTCGGATCCGCCACCTGCTTATACGCCGTCTGCGACGCATGGCTCCGGTTCCCATTCTGTTCCGTCCGAGAAACCTTCTCTGTTCCCACCTCCGCCGCAAATTGCCCCTCATCTGCCTCAGACCGATTTCCCTACTCAGCCTACCTATGCTTCTCAGAGCCAGCCATCATCCCCGCTGCCTCCTCAGTCTTTCTCAGCCCCCTACGGACAGCCTCCTTTTCAACCACCGCCTTCCCTTGGCCAATCACTGGCGCAACCCCCTCCGGGACAGCCTCTCCCGTCTCCTCAGGCTCCATCTTCTTCGCAAGATGATTGTCTTCCGCCACCCGGCCCACCGCCTTCGCATACGCAATACGCATACACCCCACTCCCAGGCCAGACATATCATGTTCTTCAACCTCCCCCACCTCTCCCCCCCAGACCTAATACCGCTCATGCGTATCCTTCAGTAGGATTGAGCACCAATCCAGTCAATTCGATGGCTTACCCCCCTCCGCCGAAGACCCATTATGTGGCCCAACCCCAAGCAGTTGCTGGGCCCTCACACTCATCAAGTTCCCAACGCCCGGCGGCGGGGGGCAAGCTGTTTGGAAGTACAGTTGCCAAGAAATGGCTTGACAAAACAAGCCAGGTATTGGAGAACAAGGTTGAAGAGATTCTCCAGAACCACCCTGATCCGAGATTCCGGCCTCAGGCGAGTTCCAACCATGCGCCGCAGCAGCCTCAATACGCGTCTCAACAGCCTCCTGGGCAATATTACAGCAACACCGGCTCTGCCACACCTCAACCTCAATGGCAACCCCCGCATTCAGGTCCATAATCTTGATGATAGCATTCTACTTTCTACGTGGGGATAATGAAGCGTTATGAAGTGATTTGTTTGGTTTACTCTAGCATCGTCGGGTTATTTACTTTTGGAACTAGTCCATGTTGGGGCATCTTTCATTAGCAACAAGTAGCGTAAATAGAAGTCGAGTGGCTGCGTGTATTTATGGTGTCTTATAGCTGCCCATGAGAGTTATTCTCTAGTTGCGATAGAGGCTGGCATATTCAGACACTTGGTTCTTTACGAAGCTATGAGTGAATGAAATGTTCTATCGCTAGAACGGAACAGTTTATCCCTGGCATTTGGTTTCCTCCATACTTGATTAACTCGTTCCTCAATCCCAAAGGACTTTTTGCATACCAAGATCCTTGTCAAAGTACATAACAGCCAAGTAGGTGACTCGGGGTGGGTAGCCCGGCTCGTCCGTGGATCGTCCGCGGAATGTTCGTAGCGTAGAGGATGATGACTTTCGTCTGACGTTTAGCTACATTTGTAATCATCAATTCCTTTTTTATTCACATTCGGCTATGCTGTATTTGGCTAAAGGTATCGAGTAAAGCTTTCTCACTGCACAATGTCTTGCTACTTTACCTCTCCTAGGAAAAACCTTCCGAGGTTAGAAAGGCTCATCAACATTTGTTGACATTCGAGGAAATTCCTTACGTGAGTTGAAGAGAGAAAAAACCCCGTGTTGCCCTAAAAGCTGCAAGGAAGCGTTTTGTGTTATCTGGGGAAGCGCATAGGTACTCATTATCAAGCTGCGCTCGGTAGCCTATCACAAAGTATTCTGCATTACACAGAGAATAAGCTGGGTACCTACATGCATGTTACGTGTAGCCTGATCTTGGGATAGCTCTTGCTTATGGGGAGGGGGAAAAAGCTACATTCATATTGTTGGATAGACATTCTTTGCATGGCCATCGGAGTTGAGCCCACAATTGATAGACGACCACCAGCAAGGGCTGGTTCTCAGCTTGGCCTTTGTTTCTCCGAGCACCTGTTCTATTTCTGTCGCGCAAGAGCCAATACGAAGAGTTTGTCAACTATCCTGCTTTTTAAGACAACGGGAAATGCGACTGTAACCTCCCAACAAGTCTCCTGTACAGCACGAGGAAGTGGCTGGGTCACGGGACGGCTATTGCACGCCCTTTGGAACGGACTAAGCACAAAGGCGAATTCCGCGTTCATGCAGTGTAACCTGCGAAGAGCTATTTGTGTGCACAAAGATTGCAAAGTGCGGTTACAATTGAGGAGGATCGGCGCCGTTTTGGGGTTAGACTCTTTGCTGCGCGGCAGTTGGTGGGACGCACACATCCCACTTTCTCAGGGATCAACAGGCTTAGACGGAGGAGGTTCTGCTACGAGTCGGAGGCCAAGGCGCAGGCGGAATGGCGGAACGGGAAGAATGGCAAAATATTGAAACAGGATTCGAAGTTAGTTGTTCAGCCCCGAGCGGGATGCGGGTTATTGGCCGAGGGAACGGACCTGTTTGCTGGTCTCAGACGACGTGGATGACGATGATGATGACAGCTAACCCACAGACGTCGCACCTGTTGTACCCTACCTGCATATACATACATGAGTTTACAAAGGGGCAGTGTGGGACGTCCGAAAGGGAAGGCAGGAGGACTGCATGAGTGATGACATGTCAGACTCAATCAGTGCTTCGGAGGCCGGTGAGCTGGCTACTCACAAGCGATTCATTTGACGGGAGGCTGACGGTGGTTGGTGCCCAATAGGGAGGGAGGCGGCAAATCGCCGTGCTTTTACAAAGCCACTCCATGCGGATCTGAAGGGGTGTTGCTCGGGTGGAACAATCATTAGATTAGGTATTTTCTTTTTCTATTTCTGTTTAATGCCGACCCGGCAATGCGAATCACATAGCTCTCCTCTTGCCTAGTCTGTCGGCGCCATCGATAGGGGCTGGAATCGGTTACCAGTCCGTCGAATCAAAGGGGAATAGGAGCGCGGTCTATTTGTCCGGCAAACAAGGCCGGGTACAATGCGGTCAGAAATATCATCTCGGCCGGTTGTGAGCCTTTTACCCTCCTCCTCGCTCTCGGCAAGCCGAGCCTTCACCTGACTAGCTGGCGGGAATGTGCAGATACAGGGCCTCCTCGCCAATCGGTGCTGGTCTATCCGTCTACGATACTTCTGGGCACATCTGGGCACCGTCGGGAAGCTTTGTTCGGTGCCACCCTGCGAAAGTGCTTGGCCCGGCGACACCGTGGAGACTGGGTGGATATCACTCACGGAGAACAATTCTAGCCCTTTTCCCTAATCCCTGTGTCGCAAGGTCAGGACTGATGGCTAGGAGGAGGCGTCAAGCAACGATTCCATGCCACCGTCGGTTTCCGGGTCGTACCTGATAGCCAGTATTGGACACCAGTACGACCTATGTCAGATCAAGGGGACTGATAACCGGCCTGGCTGAGGTATATATGGCGGAAGACCCAAGTACATGCACATCCAGCTACCTCCTGACCTAAGCCGGGTCTTGGCATTGTCATGCCTCCAGCAGGAGGCAGACATCAGGCGTCCGTCTCCTCTTGCTGGGGAAATAGGGTCGAGTCATTAGCGCGCTCCTCCAAGCCCAAGTCCGCTTGAGCCAGGCGAGGGGAGTGGAAAAAGCTGGTGGTGGCGCTGGTTTGCCTGTGCTTCATCAGCAAACCCAGCGCATGCGAGGTGCCATGGAGGGATGTCTGCGAAATTTCCCTTTGATGAGCTGCACTGCATGGCGATATTACCATAAGCCTTCTTACTATTAGTCGCAGGTCAGAGGTGCAGCTCGGCTTATTAATTTGGCGGTGACTGGGTGTCTCGTCTCAGCGCTGCCCTGCGGGACCACCGACCGCCTCTCCAATCGCCTAGGGCGGCCTGCTGTTTGCCGCCAGCATTTCTGTGACGTGCAGCGCAGTGAGCCCTTGGCTTCTTGGCATTGGCTGGGAGGAGCGTAGATGAGCCGAGCTGAGTGGGAGGCTGGTGGCCAGTGGATTGGCGACGACGGGCTCGGACGACGTGTATTGGCTGGTTGCTTGCTTTTTCTGCACTCACGCCGGCCTCCTGCTCGGAGATAGGAAGATCTGAGGGTGCTGGTTGGTGGCAGCGGTGGGAGGTACTCTGCACCAGTGGTGGTAGCGCTGCCTGCCCTCCCTACCAGCTGGGTGTGATGATGATGACCGCCTGCGCAGTGATTCCTTGGAATCAAGTGTGCATGAAGTTCTCCTGGCTGTTACATCACCGCATTAGGGAGAGTCGGATGCCCGCTCCTTGTAACATCATGTAGTCTGATTCTGGGCAATGCAAGTGTCAGGCCGGGAACAGCAGGTACGTATTTCTCGTAACACAAGTTTGATATCCAGTCCCTTCTGGCGGCGATCAAGCCCAGGACCAGCTCGCACACAGGTGCAAGGTGCCGTGCTGGGCCATTGGGCGGTCAGTCACCTGATGGCCTGAGGCAGTCCGGGTTTGAGGCCGGGCTGGAGCTGGGAGGGGTCTGCCCGCCCAAACGTACGCGGCGGCGGGCACTTCCAGGGTCAAGATTCAGGCTTGGGCTCACGTTCGGGGCCAAGTTAGGCTCCTGCTTAGGCGTCGTTCTGGGCTTGGCCAAGGCCGCCCGCTGTATTTCCCCTTCCCTTTCTGCCCTTTCTGCTTCGCCTCCCCGCCCCTCCCTTGCCGCCGGCGCCCTTGCTGAACTTGACTCCTCTCCACATCACCTGCCCACCTACTCTTTCCTTTTTTCCACCTCCCTCCATTCATCCTTCTTCCTCAACACACCGCACACACTTCCTCCTCCCGCCTCCCCTTTGTTCACCTCCGAACACTCGACCCGGCCGCTCTAATATCAACCATTTCTTGCCCCCAAAGCGCACCACTGCAGTGTGCTCGCATTCATCGTCACGCAGCTTCGGTCGGCCGCTGTGTGCGTTGAATTGACTTCTCCGCCTTCTCGGTCGTGAGAGGAACCCAACCTTAACCTGCAACTCGTCGGCCTTCTAGTCCGCATCGGCGGCTCTGCACGCACGCCAATTTTAACCGCCAATATTTCCCTCCTTGCCTGCAGGTAGGTCAGATGGTTTTTGTTTGCGTGTTCCTTTTTTTAGCTCCCCCCTATAAGCATTCAGTCCTGTTTTTTCGTGTCCAGCCATTATGTCACCATTGTCGGGAAATGTGGTCGGGCCACCATTTTCCTCATCTTGTTTTTCCCAAATCTTAGCATTCTCTTCTAGTAGAACATACCCTTGCCTTCAAGCCTTTTTCTTTCTTTTTGCAACACATCAACCCCCTTTGTTTCGTCAAACCCCCAACCTTCACTTGAATAAGTTGGCCTTCCTCCTCAGCCCATTAATTCACATCGTTGGATATTCGAGACTAATCTATAATCATCAGCATTCTTGCCGCAGAGACACCAGCTTGACGAAATTCGATAGAACGAACTTCTGACAACAACCGCAAAGATGACTACCATGGTATGACTGCACCCTACCTCATCCAGTCCGTTTCATTGTCGGGGAGGGGGTTCGAGCAGCTCAGGTTGAACCGTCGGTCAATCTGTGAAGAGCTTGAATGCCCTCCCCTCTCCCATATTCACAATCTTGCCCGTCCAAAACCTTCAAGATTGCATCTTGCTGACCATGTCAAATAGGATCTTCGCGTCGGTAACAAATACCGCATCGGTCGCA